CCGTGCGGTGCGGTGCCGCGCCGCGCCGTCGGACGGGGCCGGGCCGTGGGGCCGGGAGCCGTTCGCCCCGGAGCCGCCTGGCTGTAACATGGCTGACGGCAGCCGCGAGCGAGAAAACAAGGCGAGCGGCGGCGGAGCAGCGAGGAGCTCGGGCGGGCGGGGGCGCAGTTCGGGGGAACTTTTTTTTGCGGCCGCCGCCGCTCGCCCCGCCGCGAGGGCCGCGGCCCGGGGGGCTTTAAACTCGGCCGGCTGGCGGCGGGGGTCCTCCATGGGGCTCTGCCCGCTCCGCCGGGGCTCGGGCGGGCGCTGGAAACGAGCCGGCCTCTCCCCCCCCCCCCCCCCCCCGCCCCGCCGCCGCCCCCCGCCGCGGCGCGCCCCCCCCCCCCCCCCCCCCCCCGGCTGCAATGGCTGAGGGTGTGCGCCAGGGTCCGGGCGCGCTCACACAAAGGGAAGGAAGGGAGGAAGGAGCCATGTTCTGTGCGCGCGGCAGCGGAGCGGCCATTCCGCGCCTGCCTCTCCTCCTCTTCCCTCCCGCCCGGCCCGGCCACCCCTCGGCGGGGGTCCCGCGGCCTCGGCGCCGTGCGGAGGGCCCGTGCGGACGACGCGCGTGTCGGGGCCGCGGGGGGCCGCGCGGCTCTCCGCCGCACAAAATGGAAGCGGCCGCGCGGCGCTGACCTCCTCCGCCCGCGGCCCGCGCCATCGCGGCCGCTCCGCACCGCCGCGGCGCGGTGCCTGGCCGAGGGCTGCTGGTCGCTCCGTTCCCGGAGGCCGCCCGCGGCGTTTCGCCCCGAGCCGCGACAAACTTTCCCGGCGCCGCCGTCCGAGCGCGGCTCGTTTTTTTTTGCGCGCCCGCCCTCGGCCGCGCTCTCGGGGCGCCCCTCAGCCCCCGCCGGGACGCGGCCAAAATGGCGGGAAGGCGCCTTTTAAACGCGGCGCTCGGCCGCGCTGCCCGGCGGCAGGAAGCGCCCCGGGCCCGGAGCCGCCGCCGGGCCGCGGCCTTCTTGTTTACTGAGAGAAACTTCAGACCGGACGTGTTCGGTCACGGAGCGGCAATCTGCTTCTGTCTATCCGCCAAACCGATAGGAAGTGCCGCCGCTGCGGCGATGCGGGCGGCCCGCGGTGGGGTGGGCTTTGTTTTGTGTTGTTTTGTTTTGTTTTTTCCTTTCCTCTGCGCCGATTCCTGCCTGTGAGCTTTCCACAGGCCACGCTGGAGAAGCGCTCCCAGGGCCCGAGGTTTCTTGTGCCCTCAGGCCCTGCTGCAGAGCGGGGCATGAAGAAGTGTCCCACTGCTCACTCACTCACTCACATCCCTGCCTTGGTGACAGCAGTGCTTCATGCCCGTGTTTGTGGATGTGTGCATGGAGCAGCGTTATGTGGTGCGTTTGCAGGACAGCAGTAATACACAGCACGTAACAATAACGGGTCTCTTGTAAACGAGCCCCCAGTGTGTGTGTCTTGTAAATAAGCCCCAAAGGTCCGCAGGGCAGAGCGATGGGAAGGCTGTGTGGAGAAAGAATGTAGTAACCCAAAGGAGAGGATGCTCTCATACTTTTCCCCTTAAGAATAAGGCGTTCTGCTGAGGCCAGTGGTTGGTACGCTATCAATAGGAGTGTGGTTCCCATTGCCCTGGTGCTAACAATTACTGCAGGCTGCTTGCAAGGGGCGTTTTTGCTGACAAGAGACCGGAACTGCGTGTTGTGTGATCGGTTGTATCTGCCAAGTTACCTCAGGCAGCGCTGGTCAAAACCCTCAGTAGATACTCCTGAAGAGAAACTTCTTCCCGCTGTATGATTTCAGAGCACTGCTGTAACAAGTCTTGTTCAGCACAGTTGTTCTTCATGGCTTACTTCCTGCCTTGGCTTGTAGAAAGGAAAAGTTTTAAAGGTGTCTTTCTTGCCTTGCTGCAGAAAATCCTCAAAAATGGGCAAAGGTGATCCTAAGAAGCCGAGAGGTAAAATGTCTTCATACGCCTTCTTTGTGCAAACCTGCCGGGAGGAGCACAAGAAGAAACATCCAGATGCTTCAGTGAACTTCTCAGAGTTCTCAAAAAAATGCTCAGAACGATGGAAGGTAGGAGAAATGCCTTAAAAGCAAAGCATTAAGCAGCTGCCCTGCTAGAAATGTTATTCAAACTTGTCAATTATTTGTGTAAAAAGTTCTGGTTTTAGATATATAGGAAATACACTTGTGAGGCAAATAACTCTCCATTGTTCCTGCCTTACCTTTAGCTCCCCCAGCTGAAATTTTGGAGCAGACCTGGATGTGCTCTCAAATCTTAGTGTTGTTTTAATTGCCTTACAGACTATGTCTTCTAAGGAGAAAGGGAAGTTTGAAGATATGGCAAAGGCTGACAAGCTTCGTTATGAAAAAGAAATGAAAAACTATGTACCACCTAAGGGGGAAACAAAAAAGAAGTTCAAGGATCCAAATGCACCGAAGAGGCCTCCGTAAGTGGTGTTCTGGTTAGGCTGTATTGTTCAGGACTATCACACTATAAAATGATCATTTCATCCAAGTTTGGGAGCTTCAGAAGTACAGGCTGTCTTGGTTTTCCTGGCCAGTGATGTTAAGATAGGCTGAAAATTTAATAATGAATATTAGGCTTTTGTTTTCAGGTTGGTCCACTTCAAGTTGGAATAATGTCAGCCTCTAAAAGCAGATGCAGAAATGTACAATGCACAGTTCTGACTGATGTTTCCAAGTTCTTTAAAAAGGGATCATTCTGATGGCAAACAGTGGTCAAATACTTGTAGCCATTCTCACCACCTGTTGGCTCAAGCAGGAATTTTAGTTGGCAGTCCACTTAAACGTAGAGCCTTGTGAACAAAACAAGCTGGAGGGATGATCATGCACAAAACAGCTTGGAGAATTAAAATTGTAGCCAGAACTGCTGAGTTCAGATTCACCTGGTGCTTTGTAGGAATACATCTTTGTGTGTGTGTGTCAGTTCCTAATGAATTAATGCTGGAAGGTGCGGAGAAGTCTTTATTGGGGCTGTCATCCTGAAATCCTAATTCTCACGACAAATCATTGCTGCTTTCTTGCTCTCCTCTTACCATTCAGTCATTCTCTTAAGGACTTACTCTGCATATGGTATATAAAATTGGCTCCTATGGGGGTCCTGCCAAAAACGAGACCAGATGTGCAGCATTGCTTGGAGACAAGTATGTGTTAAGTTTTCAAGGTAGTTTGTTTAGTTCTGATATCTTCCACTGTAATCAATCTTTGCTTCACTTTTAGGTGATGTTCCAAAGTAAATAAGGTCAAAAAACTTTTTGTTACAATAGGTTAAAGTCTAAAATTAAAATACTTTTTTTTTTTCTTTTTTTTGCGGGCGCCCCCCCTGTGTGTGTGTCTGTAGTTCGGCTTTTTTCTTGTTTTGCTCTGAGTTTCGTCCAAAAATCAAAGGAGAACATCCTGGTCTTTCCATTGGGGACGTGGCAAAGAAACTGGGAGAGATGTGGAACAACACCGCAGCAGATGATAAACAGCCTTATGAAAAGAAGGCTGCTAAGCTGAAGGAGAAGTATGAGAAGGTAATGCTGGCATTTACGGAGGTGGTTTGGGGAGAACAAACCACACAGACACTTTTCCATTCTCATGTACCCTAATATTTGATGTTGCACATCATCGTGAGCTAAGGACAAACATCACACTTTTAGAACAGTGTCACTCAGAGGGCATACAGGACACCATTATCACAGAATTGGAGTCCTGTGTGTTGAATGTTTTTTGTTCATCTGTGACTCAGGGCCATCAATGATGGTTTAATAGATACCATCGTGTCTGTATTGTTATTAAAACAATAGGTCACAGCAGCATCTGAGTTAAGATGGTAGTGTTAAGTAACATCAGTAAAGAGTAAAATGTTTCTCTTGTTTTAGAGGGGTTATGTATCCCTGCCTATTGAAATGATTGAAATACATAGGTGCTATTTTTAGTTTATAGTTGGGGTGATGTCAGAACACTTGTGAGATGCTAGCAGTAGATGTGCTTTTTCCTCTATCTCCTTTGCATGCCCTCTTTTCTAGTAATCTAACAGAGTTACAGCACATACGAAGCAGTGTATCGTACAACTTATTGAATCGTTCCAGCTAAACCTCATCGTCATAGCAGGAGCAGCACGTTGCACGTGCAGAGCAGTGCTGTGTGTGTTCTTTGTGAGGCAGATTGCCATCCTAGGGTGAGGAAACCAAGTGGGGAGGGGGTGTGCTGCCAGCATCTGTGCTGATGCTTTGTAGAGGGCCGGTGCTCAGCGATAGCTGCTGTATGTGGTGTGGAGTCACAGAGTCACCGAGGTCTCAGTCTGCGTGTGTGCCATGGCCGCAGGCTGGGCACATCTCCTGCTGGCCAACAAAACTGTTTGAGGATTGTAGCACGGTTGTGAACAAGGTGTGCTCTGTGAGAGCTCATCAGCCACGTGCTGGAGAGGGGTGGAGGTGTAGAAGGCTTCCTGTGTTGTCCTTCTGGTGCAGCTTCAAGCTCTCAGCATGCTGAGTGTTCTTTACATCCAGAGCTGACAGTGCCTGAGGAACTTCATACGTGGCACAGTCATCACTTTAGTCCGAGACGCCTTCATTTCTGTGCTATTGTGCTATCCGTATCTTCATTTCTTACATTTACAAATGGGTTTTTGAGGAGCAGGAAGCTCAGTACCTCACTGGTTGCCTTTTGCTTCGTGGATTCATCTCTTCTACAGACTTCATGCTAAGTTTTAAGGGAGTGTGAGAGGGCTGGTGTAACATTGGCGGGATGGGGAATGGAAGATTTGGACTGTCTGCACAAAGCCGCTCACGTTTCCCTCTAGCTGATGCATTTGAGAGTCCTGTAGATCAGTTCTGTTGTGTTTCTTCTGATTTTGGCTTAAAGCTGGGGAGTCTGACTGCTTTTCTGTCTTGGTCTTCCATGTACAGTTTTGACTTCCTATAACAGGAACTGAATTTTGTGCTTTATAAACTGCTGGAATAAATTTATTGCATGCAGAAGGTGGCACTGTCTACCCTTTAATCAAAGTTCCTATACCTTTTATTTTGTAAACTTCAGTCAAGCAGAATTCTGTGTGATTGCTCTCTGCTGAGGCATAACATTGCAGATATTATGCCGTGTCATCTTAGTGTGTTTTGGGTGGCTAATTATAATTTTGTGCCTCAGGTAAGTACTTCTGTGTGCTTTTCTTTAGCTGACACAGAAGATAGGGCTGGGAAGGGACCTTAAGAGGTCTCCCTACTTCATTTCCTTACGGGGAAATGGGTTCGGCTGTGCCTCTCCCCTCTGAGGCAGCAGCTCTTCCGACCCCTTATTAAAAGCCTGTCAGTGGAGATTCCTCAGCAGCCAGAAGCACTGAGAGGCAGCATGTGAATATTGTTTCTGTGGTAGAGGTTTCCGTTCCCTCCTTTTTCTGCTGTTGAGCCTCAGTTCACCTTGTTGTAACTGAAGCCACAGCTCTTGGTCCTGCCCAGTGCAGACGCCCGGGTAGCTCCAGTTTCACGAATGTCATTTGGAAGTTGCTCAGAGCTCTGGAGTGGTTAAACTTTAAGAGATTCTTCCTGCTTTTCTCCTCCAAGGATATTGCTGCGTACCGGGCCAAAGGGAAGGTTGATGCAGGCAAAAAAGTAGTTGCCAAGGCTGAGAAGAGCAAGAAGAAGAAGGAAGAGGAGGAAGATGAGGACGAAGACGAAGAGGATGAAGAGGATGAAGAAGAGGAAGAAGAGGAGGAGGAAGATGATGATGATGATGAATAAGTCTCTTTTAGAGCAATTTCTTTCTTGTCTATAAAGCATTTAACCCCCCTGTACACAACTCACTCCTTTTAAAGAAAAAAAAAAAATGAAATGTAAGGCTGTGTAAGATTTGTTTTTAAACTGTACAGTGTCTCTTTTTTTGTATAGTTAACACACTACCGAATGTGTCTTTAGATAGCCCTGTCCTTAGTGGTATTTCAATGGCCACTAACCTTGCCTGGTACAGTGTGGGGGTTGTAAATTGGCATGGGAGTTTTAAAGCAGGTTCTTGTTGGTGCACAGCACAAATTAGTTCTGTTTGGGGATGTAGTTCATTTCTCATCTTCAGTTGTCTCTGATGCATCATAAAAATAATTGTCGTTCTGTTAATTGAATACCACTCTGTAATTGCAAAAAGGAAAAAAGAAAGTTGCAGCTGTTTTGTTGACATTCTGAATGCTTCTAAGTAAATACAATTTTTTTTATTAGTATTGTTGTCCTTTTAATAGGTGCCCTGGAAAATCATTTTTCTTTTCTCTCTTTTTTTTTTTTTTTTTTTTTTTGAGGGGAGCTCATCTTTTGCTTTATTGAATGCCCGTTTGGGATCACGTGAATATTACAGTTTTCATCTTTCATATATCCAGCTGATAAACACAGCTTTGATCTGCATACCCTGCATATTCATGATAGGGTAAGAAAAGAAATCTATAGGCGTGCGATGAAAGAACATTCTTCCGTAACTGGAAACAAAAGAACCCGATCTCATCAAAGCGATGCTCGTTCAGAAGTTGGTGAAGTGTAATATTCTGTTGCATGAATTTACCAGTCTTGGAGAGTTGAGAAGTATAGAGTTCAGTTGAACAGAAATGAAATACTCCTGGGGGGAGGGAGGGAGCGGATGCTGCGTTTTGTCCTGGAAGGACCCATAGGAAGAGCGTGTCTGTCCGGCCGGGGTGGAGACATTTACAGGTGTGACCGCGTTGCCATGTAACGGAGGTCGGATGTGTAAATCTCTGAGCACTCGTGGGAGGTGAACGTACCTGCAGTGTGTAAAGTGAAAGGCAGGAAATGACCATATTATTTTTTGGTGACGGGTCTGGCGATGGCCGCGGGCTTTATACCATGAAACTCTCCTGGTAGCAAACGGCCCACGAGAAATGATTTTTTCTTTCTAAGATTTCTATAAATGGTACCATTATTATTTGTTAAATCTATGTAAATTCATATTTGTATTCTTGAAATTCTAGTTTTAGCCCTTTAAACAAAGTTGTATATTGTCTCAAATTGAAAATGAGATAAGATGTATTTTTCCTGTTAGGTTTTATACCGCACTCTCGATGTCTGCCCATTTTTAAGTTAAATATAGCTGTATGGAAAAGTACATTTTATTAAATTTTGCATTAAAAAGTGAAATGTTTATGGTATACCAACACCGTCTAATTTGGTCAAATGCAGTTCTCTTCCAAAACCAAAGCCTAAGGGTTGATGGGGTTTTTTTCTTGCATATTTAGTACAACTTCAAGTGCTGGCAACTGTAACTATTCTCACATATACCTGCTTACCAGTTTGGGGGACAATTTGGCAATTCTGTGGTTACAAAACTATGGTTCTCTTTAAGTGCCAGTGTTTAAAAGGAGCAAAAAAAAGAAAAAGAAAAAAAAAAAAAAAAGAAAAAAAAAAGCATTCTTGTAATTTTACACGCTTTTGTGATGGAGTATTGTTTTGTTATACGATTTTGACTTTCAGATTCTTATTTCAATTTGCATTTATGTATAACTTCAGGAGAAATATTGAACATCTGAATCCTGGATGATACTAATAAACTAATAATTGCAGAGGTTTTAATACTTAGTTAAGTGGCTCACTTAATATCCTGAGGGATTTTATTTCTTTGCGTTGGTATTTTCAGATACGTTTATGTCCCCGCTTTCTGTTTCAAACAGAAGGAAGATGCTCTTCAGAAGACTGTGATGCAGAACACCCAGGACAGATGAGTTCTGTTTTCTTTTTAATTGGGTATTGCCCATCTAAATGAGCTGATGATGTAAAGTTTCAGTGCTGAAGGGCTTTGTGTTTCTCTCATCGAAGGTGGAAAGTAGATGGGACAGGTTGCCCAAGGAGGCTGTGGATGCCCCATCCCTGCAGGCATTGAAGGCCAGGCTGGATGTGGCTCTGGGCAGCCTGGTCTGCTGGTTGGTGACCCTGCACATAGCAGGGGGTTGGAACTCAGTGATCTTTGTGCTCCTTTACAACCCAGGCCATTCTGTCATTCTGTGATTCTTGTTCTCAGAACAAGCATACGTAAGGGGGTCCCTTAGCCTTGTGCCTCAGTTTACACAGATTTGCTGGACGTTGATAAAAGCTACGTAGAGGAGCCTTAAAAGATGAGTGGCAGTGCTTATAGCCGGGCGTAGAGCTTGCCTTCATCTCAGGGCTTAGCAGCCAAGACAGGGTGTGCTCGAGGCTGAAGGCCAGGAGGTGTTCCCAATGCTGCTTTCTGAGGAGGAGAACCGCCACCAACCTGCAGGGGCTGAGGGTGGCAGAGGGGTGTGTGACGTTCTGGAGGGAGGCCAAGGTTTTGTCATGAGTGCTTGGTAGGTGCCTGTAAGTCCTTTGAGCTTGCGCGTGAGAGATTGGGCATGGGTTGTGTCTCCTGGAAAGCTCTATTGAAATACTGAAGCCATAACACCTGGGGGAAAATCCCGTCATTAGGTGGAGGAACTCTGTTAAAATACAAGTTGCTGAGAGCTATCACTGGAGGGCACCTCACTGTTCTGCATACCCGTGAGCTCCAACGCAGCAGCATCCTGGTAGTAGAAGCTCAGCCTGACGGTTGGCAACAGTAGGTCAAGCTCGACTACTACAAGATTACTTGACCTGAGGTCGCTTCATGCTGGCAGTTTCACCCAAATCTGCCTCTGGGTCATCTCCAACTGTTGGTGCCTGCGGAGGGATAACGAGTGCCGTTTGCAGCCATTTAGGCTGCGGTTCTCTAGGAGGGGACTGGACAACGCTGGCATCACTGTCACAACAAAAAGCATTTTCTAAAAGCTTTAACCTTCAAAGAAACGTGCATTGTAAAGGGCAAAAAGATCCTGTTGCAAACAAGAAATGGGATTGGTTTAGTAAGAACTGGAATATTGGTGAGGGGTAGTTCTGAGCTGGAGCCACGAGAGGAGATGCGATCGTAGGCACCGGCTTTATAGGAGTTACAGTTTCAGACTGGATGCAGGGAAAGCACTCATCCCTTCTGCAGTGCTGTCAGTGGTCCCACAGGTCTGGGGAAAACCTGAGCTGGTGTAACAAAACGCCTCTGGGAGACGGACCACTGGAAGCCTGAACTAAGAGGCACCGAGTGGCTGCAGGGATTTCTGTGGCGTCGCTGTGGTGATGCTGGCACTGCTGGCTGAAGCCGTGTGGTGATGCTGGCACTGCTGGCTGAAGCTGTGTGGTGATGCTGGCACTGCTGGCCGAAGCTGTGTACAGCTGCTGCCAGCCGCGTGCCGCATCTGTGCTGCTGGGTGAGGAACAGCTGCCTGGGCTGCGAGCAGGGACTGAGGAGAGTCGCTGTCAGGCTGCGGCGGCAGCGTGGGCTTCTTCGTATGTCTGGCGAGCGAAGCTGAGCAGAACTTCCTTCGTCTTCACTGCCCTAAGGGTTAAACCTGCGAGTTCACTCCTGCCTGCCTTCCCAGCAAGGCTCAGAGGAAGATTAAGGGCATAAAGCCGCTGCGCTGCATTGGACTGTAATACGTCATTCAATACCAAATCTGTAACGGAGACATGGCAAAATACAAAGGTGGTATTTAATACAAGAGGTGATTAATTTTCACCGTTTCCAGGGTCTGCCCACAGCAGCCGACCAGCGAAAGGCATTCAGGTCATAAATGCACTCATCATTTATTAATGGTGGTAGCAATCCAAGTACATCCAAACGCCATTCCTTGGCTATACCCTTTAGTTTGCCATCATGCTGTACTTTAGTAAAGGCCACGCAGCGCATCGTTTGGCCTCTGCTTTAAAAGAAAAGTGTGTGGCATTTTGCTTTGGTAGGCTGGGGTGGGCATGGTCTTGGCCTCTGAAAGATGGGAAGGGGCGTTTTACAAGCGAGTGCAGTACAATGCCACAGTGTGGGCATTCCTTAATAAACTCCGTGCCCTACAACTGAAAAAACACTCTGAGGCAGTATTATTCACACAGAGTTATTCTAATGATTTCCCTTTAGAGGAACAGCACTGCTTATTTCACTACAGCGTAGCTAAATTTGAGTAAAGCCCGTGCAAAGCCTATCTCCAGAAGGTTTGTACTGTTTTGTAACACTGTCTCCTGTGCTGTGTATGTCGTGCCCCCCTGGATTTCCTTTGCCAGCACCTCAAACAGAAAATCAAAGAGGGATTTTGGTCCCAATGGATTTGCTATTATGAATGAAGGTCAGATTGTTCTTACGGCTGCTTTGTGCTGCTGAAAAATACAGCACAGGTTGTTTTGAGAGCACCTAATTCTGAAATCCATCTTGCTGAAGTGATTGCTGGTAGAGGTGACCTGCAAGAGAGACAAGTCTTCCCTTGTGCAGCTTTACAATGGAATGAAAGCCGTCGGCTGCACGTGAGCTTGGTCTGCCTGTTGGCTACCCCAGAAGATGGAGCTTTGCCTTTGGAGGTGCATCCAACTGTGCAGTGAGACGGCGGAGCAAGGAGATGGCAAGAAAAGGAAACGGGCACTTTTAGTTACACCTTGAAAATTTCTGCTTGCAGCTTTAAAATATACTTGACTTAAACGAGCAACTTTTGGCACAGAGGAAATTCATCCTAATGATTCCAGCAGCCTTTCATCTGTAAGGTGGCAAAAGCTCAAAGAACACGTTTCTGACCTCCCAAAAGTTCTTCAAGAAAAACAGGAAAGACCAAACTCTACAGCTTGAATGTCTGGAAAGGACCCAGCTCCCTGTATGCCTTACGGCAGCGAGAGGTCACGGCTCCAACGCTGCTTGGAAGACGCCTTCCAGAAAGTCACGCTTACGAAGTGGACACCGAGGACTGGCGCTGCGATGCTTGCTGTGTTTGCTATGGAGAGTAAAAATAACACCTAAGAAATGAGCAGGAACACATTGCACCGCCCCGGTGCTCTTGAAATCGAAGCGTAAGAAGGAAACGGGACCGATGCCAGCCTGAGCTCCTGGAGAACGGGGCTGGGAGAGGTGAGGGCATCACTCTGCTGAGCCAGGGAGGAGGGCAGCAGAACTCTGCTTCTTTCATGTTGCCAGCAAACTGCTGGCTGCCACAATGGAGTGAGCTCCTGCTTGTGCCCATTCAGGGTGTTTTCCCCCTGGTCATAGCATCAGGCAGCAAGAACCAAAAATGCAAGGGGTGCAGCACGGTGCTGGGTGGCAGATAAGGATCACTGGCTCAGTAAAAAGCAAAAATCGCAGCTCTTTTTTCAGAAAGAAAATGAAATCTAAGATGTATGTGGTGATGATTTTAGAAGAGATAAC